TGCTTGATATTTCTGTAATACATGAACATAAGTTTACCAGTTGGTTAAAGCTCTCCTCATACTTGTCTTTAAACTCCAGCCCGTCTTCAAGAATTCTATTGTCTATGACATCAACTACATTCTTGTTTGTATAGAAGCAGTAAATATAGTAGTGCTGACTTCTGTGTACAGGAAACAAGACCTGTAATTCATAAAAAGCATTCATTAGTTAATTATTTCATAGTGAATCATTTCATTTATCTTTTTCAGTAATAATAACATTTTACCATATCATAATCTTTGAGATTTCCTTGTTTATCAACTTCAAATTCCAACCTCTCTACCATCATGTCTTCTTTGTTTGCATATAACACTGCAAATTGTGCCTATTTATTATCAACCATGGAAATGAATCAGAATAATGAATATTTTTTTATTTATTCAATGAATAAGAAAAATGATACGTACATAGACCAATGTAGAAAGTATCAGTGCTCGTTTGGGAGGATTGTTTTTGTGTTCTCTGTCATTCAGTAATTTTACCCATGCATCTATTACTAAATTGTCAACTTCTTTTTCATCTTCAAGTGTTTGGAACTCCTCATGGTTCAAAAACAGGCTTGAGTCATCATTATACAACAATTCACTAAGACAATAACACTGGTTAGTAAACAATTGATTGAATAGCAGGTTCTTTTCAAATTACATCTGAATTCAACAGCAATTACATCTCAAATAAACCGCAGTTACATATCAAATTAACATCATTTACATTTCAATAAACAAAAGTTACATATCAGGTTAACATCAATTACATCTCGAATAACAGAAGTTACATCTCAACTTAATAACAATTACATCTTTCATTAACAGCATTTTCATGTTTTTTTTTTTTGAAAAACACAGTGAACATTATTTCGTAAATGATTTCTATGATTAAATAAAAAAGTTAAATTTTATAAATACAATTCTACAATTTCTAAAGCCTGTTCTATCTTTGAAAACAATTTACATAAGTCATCACACGAGTTACATAGTTGTTATACACTTTTTGCATAAAGTATAACCGAAGTTACATCTTGCATAATCACTTGAATAATGATATATATAATAAAGAACATCTTACTTTCCAACTTCCTTTGAAAATGCATAGTCAATCACCATTTTTTCTTCCTTCCTCATCTCCTTGCACAACCTGTGGTTGTGTTTGAGATATGGTGACCTGAATTTCCATTCTGTATCAGCTGCCTTAGATGCATTTTTCAGCTTCTGCCTTTTTGCCACAGGTGCTGTCATCTTCACTTCTTCTTCTACATTTTCTTGCTCTTCAGTTACAATATCCTCTTGATTTCTATATTCTGCTTCCCTCACTCCTCCTTCAACTATCTCAACCATTTCTTCTTTGTTGTTTTCTTCTTCTGTGTTTCTAGCAATCTTCATTATTGGGTCTTCAGTCATTTGAGCAACTGGATTCTCATTTGTTGAATTTTTTTCATTTTGAGAAGGTTGTGTCATGCTGAACTCAATGCCCAGATCAAATGAAGGCATTGAGAACTTCAGATAAACAGCTTTTTCTAATCTATCTAGGGCTTCCATTACCCCTGGTATATTGAAAAAATCATCGTCCTCATCAAGAGTGCACTTTTCTGACAACCTCTCTTTTTCTGATTCCTGGGCACTGCCATTAGCTTGTCTGAAGAAGTAATCAGCTGTTGTCAAGTATATCTTTTTCAAGATATCGGAATTTGGGAAATCTTTTAGAAATTGTTGCTGGAAGTTTTGAAAATTCCACAAAAGCATCGCTGAACTTCTATGCAACAACAATTATTTCTTTGACACAGTCCTACAAAAATTGAATTTCATTTGTAAGTTTCATATACCATTAGATATGAAATATAAGCAATGTAACTTATGATCAATTTTATGTAACTTTAGTTCAAATATATGTATGTAATGATCAACACCATGTAACTTCCATTCATATTGTGTAACTCCAGTGACATCAGTGAAGTAACTAATCTAGATATAGTGTTTATTTAAAATTTACCTCTTTAGATATCATCTCTTCATCTTCAGTTTGTTCTTTATTGGCTTCTTCATTTTCTTCTCTTTCTTCTTTGTCTTCATCAACTATCATGATTCGTGGAATCACCTTCCCGAGCCCAAACCTCAGCTTCCTCTCGTCTTTTATTCTCCTTTCAATTCTTTCTTTGCTCCAGGTTCTGATTGTTGGATAAAGAGTATCCAAAACCTGACCTTTAAATTGCACTCTATCGAAGTAGCAAATCATCAGAAACAGCAACGGTCCAGTGAACATTCTTGTTGGCTGAGCTTGCCATTCTTCTCCAGCATCCATTAATGATCGTCTTGTATACTTGCACCAGTTCAAGTTCTTGATTTCATGAACTTTTATCAGAGAGAGCAAGATCTTGAAGTTGCTTTTTATACTCTGATTGCCTCTGATCAGGCATGAAACTGTGAACACCACAAAATTTATCTTAAAAACATCTCCACAATCATCATCATGAATGATTTTTTGTATCATTTTGTTGTCTCTGGGCTTCCCTTTTCAATTCCCCAATACTCTCTCCAGTGCTTCAGCAATTCAATGTACTCTTCACTTTCGTTTTTTCCATTTGCTTCTTCAACATCTATCTTTCCCATAGGCAAACCGAAAACAGCTCTAACATCTTTGTCTTCAATATCCAACAACTCGCCATTTGTGAGTTGTAGTTGTGCTGATATTGGTCGCAAGTTTAGCAATAGGAATTGTACAAAGTCTCCATTAAATCTGTCAAAACTTAGGTTCAGCAGACCTCCAAAACCAATCTCTTCAATTGATGCTCTTTTATTTTCATCCAGCAGTTTAATCAACTTGATAAATGGAGCTGGTCCTACTCTGGTTCTTAAGTTGACAGCAGTGTTTCCGTCTATTTGTTCATCATTCTTTTCGGATTCTTCATGTGATATTACAACTGTTTTTCTTTTTCTGGATGTAGTTGGCTTGTCATAAGTCAACAGTTGCAATGGTTCTTGACTCTGTATTGGTACACAATCTTCCATTTTTAAATTCTCATTCTCTTCTGTTGCATTGCTTCTTGTATTCCTAATATTATACAGAATAACATTCACAAGTCATAATCAATTTAAGCTAACATTAATAATTTATATAACTCATAGCAGCATTTACATAATATTATATATTAGTTGACAATAACTAAGACAATAACACTGGTTAGTAAATAATTGATTGAATAGCAGGTTCTTTTCAAATTACTTCTGAATTCAACAGCAATTACATCTCAAATAAACCGCAGTTACATATCAAATTAACAGCATTTACATTTCAATAAACAAAAGTTACATATCAGGTTAACATCAATTACATCTCAAATAACAGAAGTTACATCTCAACTTAATAACACAGAATATTATACAGAATAACATTCACAAGTCATAATTATACAGTTGTTTCCATTTTAAAATTCTCATTCTCTTCTGTTGCATTCCTTCTTGTATTCCTAATATTATACAGAATAACATTCATATTATACACGTGTTTCCATTTTAAAATTCTCATTCTGTTCTGTTGCATTGCTTCTTGTATTCCTAATATTATACAGAATAACATTCACAAGTCATAATCAATTTAAGCTAACATTATTAATTTATATAACTCATAGCAGCATTTACATAATATTATACATTAGTTACATAATTTATAACTCAAAGTTACATGTTATGCCCTTGGATGTGATTCAGTTCTATATTTCAAAAAGTTACACAAGTCCTCACAACAGTTGCATATTAATATTCTTATGTTACATCTATTTTATTTGTAGTTACATGTTACACGTCAGCTGTTAAATAATTAATTCTGGGCTGTATAGTTACAGTCATTGGATAAATACAATTGTAAAATTCAATTTTATAATGACCAATTTTGATAAGTTACATAATATTATACACTTGTTTCATAAGTTATATCCCAAAGTTACATGTAACTAAGAATTGACATAAGTTACATATTAATATACTTATGTTACATAAATTCTATATGTACTTACATAAGTTCAATAATCAAATATGGCTCCAATACTTGCAGAACTGAACATGTAATTTGTCCTCTAGCAATGTTACATTTTATCATACATAAGTTACATAATAACTCAATGAAGTTACACCATACACAAGCACTTCGAAGAATGTTCTCTGGACAACATTTTCTATCAAATAATACCTTATAGATTGTATATACTTGTTAACTTAAGTAAACATCCGGGATTTTGACTTTTTAAATACAGTCAGATGCGGATTATGAACCAAAAATTACTTTGCTTGTATTTACATGTAAACAACACATTTCAGGGCATAATACACATGTTTTCATAACAAAAAAAACAATCTCATTGAGTAATATTTGAGTCTATGTTATAGCTTATACCTGACAGTCGGTTTTTCTTTAACCCTAACCATTTTGGTTGTACTTGGTGCTGAACTTGATCCTCAAGTTGCTCCGGTGAAAGCCTTTACTTAATCTCTTGTCTTCTTTGCAAAGATTTGTTTCAAAAAAAAACTTCGTCGAACTTGCTTGATTCAAAAGAAATGTAGAGCGAGACTTTTTCAGAAAGTAGACTTTTGAATTTCGAACTTCGAAAAGGCGTAAATGTAAAACATCGGGAGTTGAGAGCATAACCGTTGGAGGGAAAAGGTGGGAGAAAGAATCCGTTGGTTTGTGTGCGCATTTTTTTAATGTAATGCTACGTCGTTTTGACGCGGGAGTAGGATGCTCAATATGGGCCGCTCTCACGGTATACGAACTAAGCATAAAGGGATTATTTTACAATTCTAACGGTAAAAAAATGTAAAATGAACCCAAAAAAGTAAAAGTAGGGATGATAGATAAACGGATAAAATAAAAAAGTGAAGAGTTATTAAAGCTCAATTTAAAAAATTGTTCTTATTTTTGCCCGTTTGGTACAACCCAAAAATAGAAAGTGTAAAAATGGGACAACATTTTTATAACTAAATAATCATATAACTGCGCATCATTCCATATGACTTTTGATGTAATTTTTCAAATATGCAAGTTTTATTCGCTTATACTAAATTAAACATTACAACAATTGAATTGAAAATATTCAGCCTAAACTAAACTAAATGCACGAGTAAAATGAGACCGGACTAAAATGGGGTGGTAAAATCACATGACACCACTACTAATGGGGTGAACAAAACCTCCTCTATTGACTAAAATAGTACAAAAGGCACACTTCAGTTCCTTTATTTCATACAACAAGCATCAACAGTAATCTGCTAAAACTCCCCCAAAGCCTTTGGGAAGTAAGAACTTCAAACACAAAAACTACTTCACCATGCAGATCTTAATAACAGAAGAAGGACCAATCCGATGCAGTGCCACAACAGCATCCCCAGGTTGGCAAAGCCCTTTACGGGTGGCTGACTTCAACGCCGCGGAAAGAATGACCTCAGTTGATTCCGTGGCAGTGGCTTTGGCAGATCCTTCAGCCAGAAGTGGAATCAGACCTCTGTACACCAAGCTGTGCCTTGCAGGGGTCTCATCACTCACACTCCAGTCAAATGAGTCTGTTGTTAAAATCGGCACAACTACAGAGAGGATTGGAACAGCAGGTCTGTATTTGGCGACCAGCTTGGCGGTCGTCCCACCACGGGTCAACACAACTATGAGTTTTGCTTTAGCCTTGTTGGCTGTACGTACGGCTGACGATGCAAGAGACTCCAAAGGGCTCATCGGCAGTGGGGTCGACCTGATCATCTCTTTGAATATAGCTCTGTAGTCCAGCGAAGATTCTGCCTCTAAACAGATTCTAGCCATAATTTTCACGGCAATCTCAGGGTAGGCCCCAGCGGCACTCTCGCCACTCAGCATCACACAGTCGGTGCCGTCTAGGACGGCATTGGCCACATCTGTTGCCTCAGCACGTGTCGGCCGAGGGGACTTGATCATTGATTCCAGCATCTGAGTGGCAGTGACCACAGGCTTTCCTACAAGGTTACACTTGTATATCATCATCTTTTGGGCCAAAAAGATCTTTTCCACTGGAATTTCCATTCCAAGATCACCTCGAGCAACCATGAATGAGTCCGTCTCCTGCAGGATTTCGTCAAAATTGCAAACTCCCTCTTGATTCTCCACCTTCAAACAGATACAGACGGGAAATGAAGTAGTTAGAAAACTATAGTTTGGCTATTAGAAACATACTCTATTCAAGGGAATAAAATAAAATAACCATGCGATTATGAACTTAAAAAAAATAGAGAAATGAATAAATTGACAGCCGCAAATTAACCAATCAACCCCAAACACATGTATGAATAAATAAAAAGAGAAACTAAAACAGTGATGTGGAGGCTATTGATTGGGATCTAACACATCCCCAAAAGGATTCTCTAGACTCTAGAGAAGGGGTTAACCTCATACTTATATACTAGAACTTACGTATTTGACCTAGATCTTGTAAACATCCAATTGACACACTTTCTTAGAACATTATTTATTGTGTTCAAATTAATTATCTTTGATTAATTAGTCTTAGTATTAGCAAGCTTTTAGTTGAGAGAGAAGCAGACTTTTTAATTAAACAAGCCCACATGCCTACCTGTCCTAATTGTAGATCTTCGAATTTCTCCTATAAATACATGCAGAGGGGTTCGAACAGCCTAAGACTCTACACAATTAATTCCGCACTTATCATTCTCGTAGAGCACCTCTCTAGTTTTTCTCTCTCAACAGTCCATTCGTATATCATGTATTCTTGGCATATCATTATGAATATACGGTATTGATTGTTGATGAGTTATTCTTCTTTTACACAATTTCTCCATATTATTATTTAGATTATATTTGACTGTTGATCTGGGATTGCACACACTTTAACATGTCTCTCAACTCAAACTGGGTTGGAAAACTTGAGGGATGGACAGATGAGTCAAACCATATATGTCAAACTAACAAAAACCACAAGCGGACCAGACTTTGGTCTTTGGTACCATATTAAATTAGACCTAACTCGCCTCAAAATAATCCTCCATATTGAGGTTACTTTCATACTTGTATATATAATATACTTCATCCGTTCTTTAGTAGTTGCAACACTTAATATTAAACTAGTCACACACCTTACTTTGACCATGATTTTCTACGAATATATATAATCAAATTATTATGTATAAAATATTATTAAATTTCTCTTAAATCTTAATGTGAACTTCCAAAATGTTAAATTTTTATAATGTTTATTATTGCTTAATTAAAAAGGAATGGATGTAGTATTAGATACGGATCAGGTAAAACTCCGATTTGGGACACTTAATCGGATGCAAAATGTATATATGAAAGAATGCCACGTGACTGTTGTGCATTGATCTCTTCTATTTGAGACGAAGACCCCTGGGGTAAAGTGAATTTTTAAAAGTAAAAATAAGAAATAAGGGTCAGGATACCTTTGACATAAGCTGTATGCGCTTAGCATGTGTACCAAGAACATTTCTAACATTGACAAGATCGGAACCTTTGCGCACAAATGAAAGGGCAATCATGTCAATGTTGTTGGGAACACCCCATCCAAGGATATCTTCCTTATCCTTGTCTGTTAGTGTGGGGAGGTCCACCACAACACCCGGAAGGTTCACATTTTTCCTTTCTCCTAACATGGCAGTGTTCTCACAGCGACATCTCACAGTTCCAGCAGAGACATCACATGACAGAACAGTGAGTGTTATGGTTCCATCTGCACACAAGATGGTATTCCCCGGCTTCAGGTCTACTGCTAATTTTTTGTAGCTCATGCATATTGTTTCTTCATCTCCCTTCATGCTGTAGTCGGTTGTCACTGTGATTTCTTGGCCTTCTTTGAGTTGTACCGGTTTTCCGTCCTTCAAGAAACCAGTTCGGATCTCAGGACCCTGCATGTTAGTGTGAAGACAAGACCACAACGTCAGTCTAGAAGAAATAAACGAGACATCAAAAACACTTCGATATACTTGACAAGTCAGGCAGAGCATATAATTATTCAGGAATTTTCCAAATGCAGGCACACAGTTAAGAAATGATAATATCCCAAGTTAAGGAGAGCACACACTTTAGAATTTATTACACTTCACGATTGCATAAAATCTCCACTGTAAGGGTACATATTTTTTTAAACTTCTTTTATTTAGGAATTTTTGGGTATATGTACACATTTAAGTAGGCATGGTTAAGTTTATGTGATAATACCAAACAAGTCTATTTATCTAAATCTATTGTTCAAAAACATAGAAATCTAAGACTAACTATACGTTTATTACAAACTAAGCAAATTAACATATTCCGTTTTCCTTTGCATTTTCTAAAGTAATACCAAACATAAGATATCAACTTTATTTGCCTTCCTATCACTTTTTTTTATCGTTCTCATAGTATTTTGCAGGATCCAAACATACCCTGAGTGTTTCCTGTGAGAAACGATAGGTGTCGTAACTTGTAAGTAAAATATGATATTGCAAATAGAGAATGAAACACATCATACAATTATTTAATGAGCAAAGGAATGCAATTATGCTCCTGAAATCTAATTCTGTAGAAAGTGCAGTAGTGTGGGGAGAACCAAATGAGAAATCTAGAAAAGTGGACCTTGGTATCAAGCATGACAGCACAGAGGATCTGAGTGTTGTGCATAGCAATCTTGAGATTGTTCAAGGTCTCCTGGTGGTAGTCGTGGGTCCCGTGCGAGAAATTGAACCTAGCAACATTCATCCCAGCCAGAAGAAGCTTCTCAAGCATGGGAACGGATCGGGAAGCTGGTCCCAATGTGCAGACAATCTTTGTCTTCGGAATCCGGCCATCAGTTGGGACATCTTTCAAGATTCCCTCTATGTCTATGTTTGCCATTTATTGGACACAATCTATTCAAGTATCAAAAGCAAAAAAAAAAACTCTCTTTTACTACAACCATCAAGATAATCATGGACCATCCTATCTATGAAGAGCAAACCCTGCTTGCCACATCAAGTAAACCTTAAAGTTTGCATATAACTTGCTTTAAACTAATCAAAAGAAACTCAAGAAATGGAAAAATATATAAAACCAAATATATTTACAGTTCTTACTCAAACTCATCAAAGGGTGAGTGGGTAATCTGAGATAGATCTAACTCTAAAAGAAGTGCATGCAAAGAGTATTACAAACAACCCCAGGGGTGCAATTCAAGAAAACCTAGAAAATAAATCAACTTGATTCTTCTGGTCAGTGGTTCTTGCCAGACAATTCAAGAACTTCTTCAGGTTTACTGTAATTTTAAACAAACAAAAAAACAGAAAAGGATACTGGCACCACAGAGTTAGACAAAGAAAGCATACCGTAAGTAAAATCAATAAGTTGTAATCACCAGTCCCCTTGACCTCACAGCTGTTGAGGTTTTAAATTGGAGGCGAGATCTGGATTCTTAAACTTCTGTCATCAGAGTACTCCGTACAAGTTTCAAGCTTGTGCGAGTGTTAGGTGGCGGTCATACAGCGGACTACTCTTGACCCTTGAAGACCAGAATATTCGTGATCCTAAAACCCACAAAAAGTATGCTAATAAACAACCCCATTTTTACCGTTTTTTGACACTAACTTCGTACCAAGTACGGAGTTTTTGGTACACAAATAAGGTCAAACATGTTACGGGACTTGCACGGCAGATGTTTTTACTTCGTAATTTGCTGGTCTGATCTGGTCTGATCTGAACTGGTCTGGTCTGATCTGGTTTCTTTGTATTTTTATAACTATCCAAGTCTAGTCTGGTCTGGTCTGATCTGGTCTGGGACGAATCACAGTCCAAGTAAAAACATCCTTATTTTTTGCAAGAAACTATTATCATTGCACACCAACTATATAAATTATAAAGTGTCAATTCCATATTGAATTTGTTTTCATTGGAACGAAGAATATACTAAACTAGTTTCATTCAATTTAGCCAAGTTAATGTTGCCTTTAAAATTATAGTAGTAAAAAATAGGGAAATTTACATAAATAGGACTAAATAAAAGAATAATTGCAACAATAAGAGTTTAAAGTTCAAATTCCAAAATAAGACTAATTCTTCTTATTCTACCATTTCCTTTGTCCTTCCTAATAGGATTTTGTAAACACTCATTATAAAATATAAAAAATTAAAATAAAAAAAAAAATCGTAAAAAAATAAATATATACAGGTCTCAACCACAACCTCATCCACCTTCCGACACCGCCACCCCCGGTCGCCGGAAAAGATTGTCAAGTTTAGGAAAAAATGTAATCATGATGTCAATTTTGAAGAAAGCTGGATATTTTCAAAGAGTAAAAATGTCATATTCATGGCATTTTCAGAGAAATGTGGCATTTTTTACAAAAGATGACTTTTTCGGCAACAGGAGCCGGTGGTGCTAGGAGGTAGAGGACGCGTTGGCAGTGACCTACATATTTTTAAAATATTTTTTAGGTATTTTATTATATTTTTTAGACTTTTTAAAGTTTTTTAAATATTTTATTATTTTTTTTAATTTTGTTATTTTTGATTTATTTTTTCACGTTTTTATTATTACTTTATAAATATTTTATTATTTTTATATTTTTAATAAAAATAAAACTATTATTTTCTTATTAATAAAATAAATCTATTGGAAATTATAGGAAAAAGGTAAAATGGGAAGAAGAGACATATATTAGTCCTTGTTGGGTTAATGGCCCAATAAGGGTCGGCCATCAACCCTTAAAGATCACCTACGAACATCTTACTAAAGGCCCAAGAAGAAGGCCAAGCACCAAGGGACAGGGGACGTACGTACCCCACTACCGGTCGGTACCAAGCCCAAGGGCCAAGATGCGTACGTACTCCATCACCAGCCAGTACCAAGACCCAAGGGTCAGGAGACGTACGTGTTCCATCGTCAGCAGGCATCCAAGCCCAGGGTCCCTACGAGGTACACGGGGACGAACGTCCCCATCCCTCGATAGGGTACCAAGGGTAGCTCAAGAATAGATTAAGGATAGCTCAAGTGCATGGGGACGAACGTCCCCTCTCCCATTGACAGGAGATCGGGATTCCAACAGGAGATAGCAGCCAAGCCCTTGGGGACGAAGGTCCCCACCCAAGGGCGAGAAACCAAGATTCTGGCGGGAAGCGCATTTAATGCAGAAGATTTGGTGGTTGGGGATCATGCCGTCCACAGCCTGCCACGTCAACATGTTCAACCACCTATTGCAGTATAAATAGTAACATTTATTTCACTATAAAGGGTACGCAATTTAGCACTTTAGCACTCTAGCAATAGTATCAGCACATAGCATAGCATTATACGTTCGGCCCTTCGACTTATAATAGTTCAGTGAATAAACATTCCCTTGTTTGGGTCATTTTCCCTACTTGTTCTCCATCAACTTGTTCACCCTCCACTCGAAATCCCCAGGTTACATGTTGGGCCTGCGGGTTGAAGGAATAAACCTCAACACTGGCGCCGTCTGTGGGAAAGCAGGGGAGGGATCTCTCAAGGAAGCCGTGAGCGGGAGAATTCTGGGCGGAGGCCTGCAGCTCTTCATCCCCCTCGTCGAGAGCAATCTCGTGGGTCGAGGGGTCAGGAATCTCTCCCCTCTGAATGGCTTCGGCCCGTCTCAGATCCCGGTCGATCTTGGCCACAACTTGCCGAAGCTCCTCCTCCTTCGTATAGTCTTCGACGTTGAAGGGGGGGCAGCCAACCTGGGGAAGGATCTGCTTGAGGCCCTTCACGCCCAAATAATATCCCTTCGCAAAGCTATCCTCCGCGAGGTCAAGCAGCCATTCAGAACCGAGCGGAGTCTTCTCCAGAAGCTCCACCCCATGCTTCAGACGCCATTTGGACGGTACGGTCTGCAACTCGGCCTCAAAGACCTCCCCCACGGCCCCACGACAATAGTCATGGGCGGCCTTCAGGAAGTGGGGTGTCTTCTTGAATTCATCTATGTCAAGAACCAAGGTAAGAGTGTCAAAAGGGGCGGCCCCACCCTAAGGAATCGAAGTAGGAGCAGCGGCAGGGGCGAAGAAGATCTTGCTTCTACTTCTGAGCCTCATCCAGAGCGGCCTGAAGTCTCTCCTTCTCAGCCGAGGCAGCTGCCTCTCTTGCCCGCGCGGCCTCCCGCTCTGCCCTTAGAGTTTCATCAGCTCTTCTCTTGGCCTCGACAACGTCTTGCTCCTGAGAGGTCTCTGCCTGCAACAAGTTCAACCCATCCTGCAAATGGAAGGACATGGAGTTAGAAAAGACGAACAATTTAAAAAAAAAAGCAGGAAGGGTTAGCGTCGTACCTCAAAGGCCAGGAGTAGGGCATGATAGCCTCGCCTGAGGAGCGGTTTGGTAGCTCCACCCCAGCTTGAAGGACCATAACCCTCCAAACTTCTCGAACCGGACGTCCTGGAGGAGGCAGCATGGTGCTAGGGGCCTTGGGGCCGAAAGGCTCAACACGTTGCCTCTTCGGCTTTTCCACCTTATCCTTCACCCCACCTGCAGGAGGGGCAACACCGACTGGGTCCACATCCAAAACCGGGACGGTCTCAACATGTTGGGCCGCAGAGCTCTGCCCGGTCACACCAACGATGAGTTGCTGCTCAGCAGCTTCAACGCGCCTATCAACCTGAGATGCGCCGGAGGAGGTGGCTTCAGAGGACTGATTGGCCCCTCGGGCCTTCGCCTGCGCAACTCGCAGTTTGGCGGCCCTGGCCTCACGACGATCCAGCATAGCTTGGCTCTACATCTGTTCTGGAGTAGGGGGAGGACCTGGAACAAGGAACAAGAAACAAGCATTAGAACCGAACGGTACAAATCTCGAAGGCACTCACCTCAGGGACTGGACCGCCCGGGCCCACAAGATAGACACGTACGAATGCTAATCCAGGGATCACGGCGGTACCTATCCATGCATCAGAAAGTGCCTGGAGGGTCACAAATTCTTTCAACTTCTTCACACCGTCCCGCTTCAACTTCTCGATGGCATCATTCAACTATGTGGACAACTCTGACTGTTTTATCTTCGGAGGATACCTATTCCACCGTATGGGAAGCCGCTCATCCGCATAACGGAGGAAGAAGCGGTTCTTCCAATCGTAGATAGAAGTCAGGGCCCCTCAAATAGCTTCAGATGGGGACGTGCGGCCACGCTCAGGAACCCATCAGAATTTTGGGGAACGACCTGAAAAAAGTAGTGGAATAGGTCCAGGCTCGGGGCAAACCCCTTCGACCGGCAATGGACGATAAAAGCGGAAATGAGCCGATAGGAATTCGGTATGAATTGGGCCGGGAAAACACCGTAACAACGGAAGAAGTCAAGGTAAAATTGGTGAAGGGGGAAGCGTAGTCCGGCCTTGATGGAATCCATGTGTACCAAGATCATCCCCGGACGTCTCATGAACAGGTTATCTGCACGTCTCAAGCTGTAGACGAACGGCGGGGGAAGTAGGGTCTGCAGTTCTTTCAAAGCCCTACGCGAGAAGGACTGATGGATCCCAGAAACGTTATGAATCAGCACGATATGGCGGGGGACGTCCACGGGAACGCCTATATCGAACACCTGCAAATCGTCCCCTTGCTCGGCCTCTTCACCGGAATCATAGTCGGCGGGAGGCTCCGCCCCCGCATCTGGTTAGGCTGCCGCCATTGGGACATCTTCGGGAGCAACATCTATGCCAGCGCCCCCTTCCACGACTATAGGGACGGCCCCATCCTCCCGCTACATGTCCCACCACCGTGGAGGCGCTGGAATGAGCTACTTGCCCCCTCCGAGGAACGGGACCTAGAGTCCGTCGTAGCAGAGGAACCGGTGGGAGAGCCGGAACAAGGATCTGACTAAGAGGATATCTCCATAGAGTAGGCCATGGGAAGAAGTTACGAGAAACAGGAGGAGGGGATAAATCCAAATAATTACCTTAAGATGATTGGAGACGAAGACGAACTGGGGAGCCGGGAAGCACTTGCAGAAGAATCCCGGAACTCTCGATGAAGAAAGACGGAGGATTGGAAATCCTAATTTTCTTCATCAATTCTGGTATTTATAGGAGGATACACCTCTCTATTAACCAATCCACAGACGACACGTGGCGAGGAGCGTTCCCAGAGACACGTGTCGTGCAGAAACGAACAGGCGCGAAATGATTACTTTTACATCGGAAGTTGAACCAGCCTGCATAACTGCCGCCTAGAGCCCCGTGAACGGCGGCCAGAGAAGCAACCATCACATCAGAAGTGAGAACGGCAGTCCGGGGCAGTACGGCAGAAGCAAATTACTTCTTTATGTCCCGCGCACGCTCGGAACATCAGAAGTGGGGGACTTGTGTTGGGTTAATGGCCCAATAAGGGCCGGCCCATCAACCCTTAAAGATCACCTACGAACGTCTTACTAAAGGCCCAAGAAGAAGGCCAAGCACCAAGGGACAGGGGACGTGCGTACCCCACTACCAGCCGGTACCAAGCCCAAGGGTCAGGATACGTACATACTCCATCACCAGCCAGTACCAAGGCCCAAGGACCAGGAGACGTACGTGTTCCACTGTGAGCAGGCATCCAGGCCCAGGGTCCCTACGAGGTACACGGGGACGAACGTCCCCACCCCTCGATAGGGTACCAAGGGCGGCTCAAGAATAGATCAAGGATAGCTCAAGTGCATGGGGACGAACGTCCTCTCTCCCATTGACAGGGGATCGGGATTCCAGCAGGAGATAGCAGCCAAGCCCTTGGGGACGAACGTCTCCACCCAAGGGCGGGAAACCAAGATTCTGGTGGGAAGTGCATTTAATGCAGAAGATTTGGTGGTTGGGGATCATGCCGTCCACAGCCTGCCACGTCAACATGTCCAACCACCCATTGGCAGTATAAGTAGTAGCATTTATTTCACTATAAAGGGTTCGCAATTTAGCAATAGTATCAGCACATAGCATAGCATTGTACGTTTGGCCCTTCGGCTTGTAATAGTTCAGTGAATAAACATTCCCTTGTTTGGGTCATTTTCCCTGTTTGTTCTCCATCTACTTGTTCACCCTCCACTCGAAACCCCCAGATTACGTGTTGGGCCTGTGGGTTGAAAGAATAAACCTCAACAGTCCTATTTTAGAAATAAGAGGATTGTACTCCTATTGTTGAATTTTGGGCTAATTTTAGTCCTATTAAGGGCTAATACCCGTAAAAATTATAAGGTTGGTGTTTGTGCAAAAGAAAGAGAACGAACAAAATCATAAATTCATTGCTTTAAAAAGAAAGTGATAGAGTTTTTTGGGACAAACAAAAGAATAAAACTTGCAAAGTCCTATTAGATGAAGGGAATATAAATTTGCATCGAACTCATTAGGTATTTCGAGTTATCTCTGATGGACTAAACAGTACATTAACTCGCAATGGGTCTATAAAAATACTTTCAATTATTTTTACAGTGAAATTACGATAAATTTCCGCTATTTATCTAATTTATTTTCATACTTAAATTGACCGGCTATCTTTTCTCTTTATTGATGTATCAAAAAATTAATTTTAAGAAAATATTGTTAAAGTGTCTTATTGTAATTTTTAAAAATCTCAGTTTTCTCTTTTTACTAATAGTTAATTGCTTATATTAATAGTCAAAATTTTACATCAATAAATGTGAATATGAGAAATGTTACACTTTTAAAAAATAAAGTAGTACTACCTCCATCCCATCATGCATCTCACTACTTTGGTTTGAAAATATAAAACAAACTTTGAATACCATTTTATAAATTGTATTCAACATAAAATTTCAAAATGAAAATTTAAAACAAACATTGAATACAAATCTATAAATTAAAAAGCACACAAGCATGCAAACTAAATGTAGAAAATTAGATGTCATCATTCATAAACTAAAAAAGTAGCACCACAAAGTTGTAAAAAATTAACTACTCAAAATACATACTATCGTATATGTCTAAAAACAATTGAAAGCATAACAAATCTCAAAATATAACTAAAATTTAGACAATTAAATGAATGTCACATTTTATCGAGTAAGAGTATTTGTTTACAAAAAAGACTAAACATAGAAAATTTAACACTTTCAGAATAGAGAATTAGGGATAATAATTTAGGAGTTTATACGAATTTTTAATTTCATTTTTAATAGACTCGTGATTTTCTTCAATTGAGAGTCTTTATCTAAGGCACAAGAACATTGAGAGCTTTCATGTGTTGTTAGTATATTGGACTTTTTACAAGAATATTACTAAAATAAAACATATATACATAAATATGACTATTCATTACTACAATGTGGTGTTGTGGTAACTTAAGCTCAAAACTTGAACATGAGTTACTATGATTTCATTACTACTGTAGTCACTAGTCATATTTTTGTAAATCATCTTTAATTTGATCATATTTATGTAATTATTTCTAGTATTATATTATATTTTTATATATAAAAAAGTTTTTTAAAAAAATATTTTAAAGTGGATTAGTATGGTACTTGTTTTTTCAAATTTTAAGACCAGATCGATTCTAAAAAATTTAAGACACGACCCACACTTTTTGGATTTTCTAGAATTAGGATCTGATCCTAACCTTCTCTGAACTAGTATTACTTGGCCCGCAGTTCATGTGCCCGTTTTCCCACCCTAATGTGAAGGTGGGCGTAGTTAGGGATGGACCGGTTCCGGATCGGGCCTGAGCCCGGCTGGGCCTCGATTCATGAAGGGGGAGGCCCGGAACCGGCCGGAACCATTAGTAGGATCAGTTGCTTAATATCTTCTTCTTCGCAAAGGTATGCAACTCACTAATGAAGTTTGCGGGCACAAGAACGGCAGGCCGTGAGGGTTAATAGTACTACATCATTTTAGCCGCGATAAAATGTGACTGCAACTTTTTTCCAATTTACATTGAAATAGAAAATTTGATGTTCGAACCATAGGCAGATCTACATTAAAAAAAGAAGATTATTTTAGTGTTACATGCATTTTGATATTTACAACACAATAATTTGCTTAAGATCAAAATATAGATATTGTGATAATCATAAAAGCAATCGCATTGTTTAGTACTTGGATCTATTGTTATAGTGGATACCTGAAAACGGCTTTAAAATTAAATGTTAGTTACTACTACGTCGTTTTAGGTGAGAGAGTAGGATGCCCAAGATGGGTCGCTCCCACGACATAACGATTGGAAGATATTATTAATAAACAAGTATGGTATACATTTAGCTACATTAACAAACAAATTTAAAAGTATAACTATGATTTCATGAGTTATAACTTATAAGTTGTACATGCCTTGACTTCATCTCAAAGAATGAAATGATTGAAATCAATCTTCAATATAAACTTTTGTATGTTCCTTAAACCTACTTTCACACTGCCGAAGTATGTTTGGTTCTTTCCTTCACCAGATTCTGGACATAAAGTTCTCCAGCGCGATAGGAAGATCGAACCTGAGAGCATGTCAGAGATTGAACTTAAATTTCAACAATCGTAAGGAGACAACTGCCAGTATAGTAAACTAGAAATCTTTAACCAGCTCACATGAATACAACTTGAAAAATAATGAGTTCAAAAGGAAGACAGGTGTATGAGATGACATACCAGGGGGCCACTGGCAACATATCGGAACCCAATAGACTCCCCATAGTCTTTCCAGAATGCGAACTTCTCAGGAGTTACAAATTCTTTAACAGTGAGGTGTAATGGAGTTGGCTGCAATAACAAAACCAGATTAACATTGACAGGTACAAGTATTTGCATGGACATGTGAGAAAGCATGATTCCTTAAGCCTGTTCATGTGTTGGTTGAGACTTTCAAGTTGCCAGTTTTTGGTTTTATGATTTTAGAAGTTACATGAAAAGCGTGTAATATACCAAAACTACTCACACTTATTGTATTGGTCTCTTCAATTTTAAAGCTTACAACAAAAAACCCGAAACCAGTTTTTCTATTTTTCGACATCTGTTTTTTATAATAAAGTAATTAAACTGAGAACTGAAAGGGGCCTTTAATTTGCTAAGGCCTAATCATAATCACAAAAACGTGATGTTTCTATTGTTTCTGTGACACTGCCTGGTTATATTCAAGTGCAACCTTGTTCTGCCAAAAGATTCAGTAAACACTAAACAGTCACTTAATGGGGGTTTAGCTCTAGTGAATAACATTATTAAAGGAATAAGAAAACTAGGTGTTGTTTTCTACATAGCTTGGCAGATTACCAGGTGTAATCACGCTTCCATGATAAAGCAGCAATTGGAAATGTATTGGTAATAAAATTAGAAAAGTGCATAGATAATGCCTATTCATTTTGGGTTCATGCCACGGGAGTTTAAAATGCAATCCTAGATGGACATTGAAAGAAATCATGAACAACATAATATTAGAAAATGCCATGACATCATGATAATGGGCATTTTTTACTGTGTTACATGGTCACGCCACATCATTAATTTTTCCAGTCAGATGCCACATAGGGTTACCTGCAAATACTGCCCAAATGTCAAAATGTCAACATCTATGGCCCGTAAATCAGCCATGGCTTCCTTTATCTCATTATCAGTTTCACCCAACCCCAGCATGATCGAAGTTTTGGTTACCATTCCATCCTTGGACAGCTTTGCATGTTTAAGGACAGACAAGCTCTGCTCGTACCTGCACAATCCCGTTATAAATACAAGACATTCAATAACACACTTTGTTTGGTGAGATTACACTAACATGGCATGTGAAAGTTAAATAAAATATGATGATCAATAGGATAATGTAAGTTTGAGAGAATAATCTTACTTATTATTATTCAATCACACGATTACAATATATATAATCAAGACTAACAACCTCAATGATAAGATCCTAAAAATTAGGATCTGACTACCTAACACTTCTTATCTAATAAGAAGGATAAAATTATATCTAAGTACACGAGTATTTGATCTAATATACACCTATACTTGACTGTACATTTTTACGCTCCCCCTCAAGTTGGTGAATATATATCATACATTCCCAACTTGCTTATGAGTAGTTCACATACTGGTTTGAACAATCCTTTTGTTAAAATATCAGCTGTTTGATCTTTGGTAGGCACAAATGGTGTACACACAATTCCAGCTTCAATTTTTTCTTTGATAAAATGTATATCCACTTCAATGTGCTTTGTACTATCATGCAGTACTGGATTGTGGGCAATGCTAATAGATGCCTTGTTATCACAATACAGTCTCATAGGCAACTCCAGTTCCATGTTTAATTCTTTGATCACTCTCCTCATCCAAAGAAGTTCACATATACCATTAGCCATTGATCTGAATTCTGATTTTGCACGGCTTCTAGCTACCACATTTTGCTTCTTACTTCTCCAAGTTACTAAGTTTCCCCATACATAAGTGCAGTACCCTCAAGTAGATCTTCTATCAATGACTGATCCAGCATAATCTGCATCTGTAAAGGCTTCAACTGTCCTGCTATTGTTCTTTTTAAAAAATAATCCTTTTCTTGGACAACTTTTTAAATATTTGAGAATCCTGTAAGCTGCCTCAAGATGTTCTTTATATGGACAATGCATAAACTAACTAACCATACTGACTGCAAAAGCAATATCACGTCTTGTATGTGATAAGCTTTCCTACCAATCGCTGATATTGCTGAACATTGACCAGGACTCCATCTTTGACATCTCCTAACTTCTTATTTGGGTCAATAGGAGTGTCAGCTGGTTTGCATGCACTCATCCCTGTTTCTTGAAGAAGATCCAACACATACTTCCTTTGAGACACAACAATTCCCCTTCTAGATCTAGCTATCTCCATGCCAAGAAAGTATTTCATCTCTCCCATATCTTTGACCTCAAACTCAGTAGCTAGTTTCTTCTTCAGGTTTTGTGTTTCTTCATAAAGATCTCATGTGATGATAATATCATCTACATAGACAATTAATATAGAAATCTCCCCCTTACTTGAGCATTTTATAAATAGAGTTTGATCAGCTTGGGCCTGCTTATATCCTTGTTTTTAACAAACTGTGTGAACCTGTCAAACCAAACCCTTGGAGACTGTTTTAGTCCATATAGTGACTTCTCTAGCTTGCATACTCTTGAACCAAATCTGCTTTCACATCCTGGAGGAGGATTCATGTAAACTTCTTCAAGTTTTCCATTTAAAAAAGCATTCTTCACATCCAACTGTTAAAGAGGCCAATCTAAATTAGCTGCAAGAGATAGAAGAATTCTGATAGTATTCAACTTTGCAACTGGTGCAAAGGTCTTCGTATAGTCTATGCCATAGGTTTGTGTGTAACCTTTGGCAACTAATCTTGCCTTATATCTCTCAAGAGTACCATCTGCCTTGAACTTAGGAGTGAAAATCCATCTACATCCAATTGTGGGCTTGTTTCTAGGTAGCTCTACAATCTTCCATGTCTGATTCTTTTCAAGAGCATCCATCTCTTCCAAAACAGCTTCTTCCACTTAGGTTTAGATAGCGCTTCCTGTATGGTTGATGGAATAGAAATAGAAGGGACACTAGAAGAAAAAGTTGCAAATGTAGAGGATAATCTAGAATAGGAAACATGGTTTGAAATAGGATATTTGACACATGACCTTTTTTCTTTTCTAAGAGCTATAGGTAAATCAAGATCAGTTGAGTTGTTACCTCTTTCATGCGCTGGCATTGGGTCAGATTCATCAACAGATTTAAGTTCAGAGACTTTCTCTTCTCTTTGATTTGGAACTCTTCTCTCATAAACCTTGCCAAATAATTTACTAATATGTTGTCCTTTTCCCAGTGTGTCAGTTGTATTTATCTCATTATTTCCTAATTTTTGACCATTTTCTAATGCATCTAAATTTCTGATAGAATGCATATCTAGACCAATGTCAAGAAAATCAAGATTTTCATGTATATGTGAGACGTTATTAGCATCTTCATTCAAATCCTCCCCCTGAAGATGATTATCAAAGTAGGGTTGGTTTTCAACAAAAACAATGTCCATTGAAATAAACATTCTTTTTGTTGAAGGTTCAAAGCATTTGTACCCCTTCTGCGTGGAAGGAATGCCTAGAAAGACACACTTGGTTCCTCTAGGATCAAATTTACTTGCTGTTTTATCTGGATTTATGATGAACACAGTACAACCAAAAATTTCTAAAGGAAGAGTGCTTATCAATCTAGTAGTAGGATAACATTCTTGAAGAATACTAATTGGGGTTTTAAATCCTAAAACTTTTGATAGCATTCTGTTTAATAAATAGGTAGCATGTAAAACAGCATCTCCCCATAAATATTTTGGAACTTTCATTGAAAACATGATTGCACGTGTGAGTTCAAGTAAATGTCTATTTTTCCTCTAAGGAATTCCATTCTGAGCAGGAGTATTGATGCAAGAACTTTGGTGAATTATTCCTTTTTCAGAAAAAATAATTATTTAGGTTTGTAGAAAAGTATTCTCTGCCATTATCACTTCTTACCATTTTGATATTGGTATTGAATTGAGTTTGGACCATTGCATAAAACTGCTTAAATACATTTTCTATTTCTGATTTTTCCTTAATTAAGAATACCCAGGTTACTCTTGTATGATCATCAATAATTGTTACAAACCATCTATTTCCTTTTAAAGTAGGGACTCTAGATGCTCCCCAAATATCACTATGCACAAGTGAAAAAGGACTAGTAGGTTTGTAACTTTGGGGAAGATAAGAATTTTTATGAGGCTTTGCAAGTGAACACATATCACAATGAAACCGTGAAACATTTTTATTATGAAATAACTGAGGAAACAACTTTTTCAAGTAATGAAAACTAGGATGACCTAGTTTATAATGAATTAAATACAACTCATTATTACTGGGAAATGTAATGGTTTGCAGACAAGTATTGCTTTGACCTTGTTTATTTGAGTCAATCCCTTCATCAAAGATATAGAGTCCATCTTCTTCCCTAACACTACCAATCATCTTCCCCGATGTCAAATCCTGAAAAATGCAATAAGAAGGATAGAATTCAACACAACATTAGAGATCTTTGGTTAATTTGCTAACAGGAGAAAGATTACGGGCTAGGTTGGGGACATCTAAGACTTTAGAAAGATTATTAAATGTGGAAATTTTAACATTTCCAGTTCCTGCAATGGCTGAAAGAGAGCCATCTGCAACTTTTATTTTCTTGTCCCCTGCACAGGGTTTATATGAAGAGAATAGATAGGAAATGGAGGTCATATGGTCTGTTGCACCTGAGTCAATGACCCAGGTGGTGTTTGATTTTCCAGAACAGAAAAATGATGCAATTTTAACATTTCCAGTTCCTGCAATGGTTGAAAGAGAGCCATCTGCAACTTTTATTTTCTTGTCCCCTGCACAGGGTTTATATGAAGAATATAGATAGGAAATGGAGGTCATATGGTCTGTTTCACCTGAGTCAATGACCCAGGTGGTGTTTGATTTTCCAGAACAGAAAAATGATGCAATTTTACCATTCTGAGCAAAAGAACAATAAGGGTTTTCTGATTTAGGGTTCTTTTGGGTATTTAGAAGTTGTAGGAATTGCTCTACCTGTTCCTTGGTGAAAGATAGCTGCTTGAAATCAACTTGTTGCTCTTGTTCAGTCTAAGGCATGGTAGTATGTAGGGCTTTTTCAAATTTTTTCTGTCCTGCTCTAGGGAGTTTCCCATGAATCTTCCAACAAGTCTCCCTAGTATGCCACAAATTCTTGCAATGATCACACCTAAGGCTTCTTCTTCTCATTTCCTTTGGCAATCATTGCTGAAGGCTCTCCTCGCTCATCATCATGTACTGGAGTATTGTACATAACTTTTTCTCTACTATCTTCCATCCTGATTTCAAAAAAAACCTCCCTGATAGAGGGTAGGGTTTTTTTTTCCAAGTATTCTCCCCTTAACTTCATCCAGATCTCTATTAATTCCTGCTAGGAACATATAGACCCTATCATTTTTCTCCCTTTTTGTGTCTTGCTAGATCCTTGGCACTCTCCCACTCCTCATCATCATAGCATTGATCCAACTCTTGCCATAGGGATACCATCTCATTATAGTAAGAGATGACATCTCTATTTCCTTGTTTGGACTGCCACAACTTGGTTTTTAATTCAAAAATCTGAGAAGAGTTCTCAAGATCTGAGTAAGTTTCCTTAATGGAATCCCATACCTCTTTTGCAGTTTTCATGAACATGTGAGGTTTGGCAATTGATGCATCCATTGAACTGAGAAGCCATGCTCTTATCAAAGAATTTTCTGACCTCCAGACGTTGTAGCCATCAATCCCATCATCACCAGTTTGTTACTTTGTTTCTCCTTTATTTCACCAGTTATGTACCACAGCCCCTTCCATCAAATGCCAGCTTGACAGACTGTGACCATTCGAGATAATTTGTGTCATTCAATCTATGTCCAGTAATAAGCATAGATGAATGAACCGAGGTCTGGTAGTTTGTCATTGAGCTATTTTGGGAGTTAGGGTTATGGGTTTGTGACTAGGGAGAAGAGTCAGAGTGCTCGGTTTCCACCATTGTGGTGTTTAAACGGCCTGCTTTGATACCATGTAAGTTTGAGAGAATAATCTTACTTATTATTATTCAATCACATGATTACAATATATATAGAGTACAAGACTAACAACCTGAATGATAAGATCCTAAAAATTAGGATCTGATTGCCTAACACTTCTTATCTAATAAGAAGGATAAAATTATATCTAAGTACACGAGTATTTGATCTAATATACACCTATACTTGACTATACATTTTTACAGATAACTTATGTCTACGAAATGCTAGTTTCTGGCCTCTACCACCAGAAGATATTTTTAGCAGGAGACCGAGTTCAACAAAACTCTTAAAAACTATAATGTTAGAACACTGGTAATTTTGTTTAAGAAATCTTACTGAAATTGTAAAGAATAGATCAAGAAGAGGATCAAGAAAGCTTTATTGACGAGTGATGTATTTACAGAAAGAAAACAGCACACAGGACCATTTGAGATGCCCAATCTCCAAGTCTAAAGTCCACTCAATTAACAGCCTACTTCTTTTTCCTCCCCTCTCCTTCTATTTATACTACATGTACACTTATTATTATTATTTGTATTATTAGCCTAATAGGCCCGATTCCTATCATATAAACACATTAGGAAAAAATATTAATAAAATTATAGTTTCCTGATTTCGATTAGAACATTTTCATCATTTTATTAATATTTCTCCCCATCTTTTTTCATTGATTTTCAAGTGTACTGTATAATAGGTTAGCTAGAGAGTAAAATCCTCCTCTGCTTTATTTGCATATAGACATGCTTAACACTTCTTGATTTGTGTCCAGCTTATCGTCTTCCTCCCTGATATAAAGAAGGCTTTACAGGCATTGCCAAGTTACGGTATTTAGTTGACCTAGAAAATAAATCATTCAAGTAGAAAAGAGACAGAGACCAGCTCTCGATCAAGCTTAGTAGTTTCTAGTTTCTACAATTCCTTACGGAGTTACGGGTACTAAAATTTCAATTATCTTCACAAAAAACTTTGACATTATGCTACAGAAAGACAGTACTATCAATATGGTGTTTGTGCCATACAGTTCAAGCAATATGGCTTGATTCTTCATTACAGTCATAATTCACAAGTCCTGATTTTCCCCCACAAATGACTCCATAGACATCTTCAATGTCTTGATGTTTTGCATGTCAGTAATGACAGTATAGAATGATACGGACCTGAACTTATGGCGTGAGAATTAATAGAAATAATACTGAATATTTTAATAAGGTGTAAAAGGAAGTGGGCTGCGTCAAGTAGTTAGTTAGATAGAGGGAAACCCTCATTTGAAAAGAATAAATAGAAGGAATAGGAAAGGGAGAAGGGCAGACTGGGATTTGGGTGAGAATTGGGATCTAGGAGAGATAGGGGCCCTCTGGAATTGGCCTCCCTTGTATTCCTCTTGATTCCCAACTAACTAATAATTTCCAGAGGCAGTCGGTTTCAGCAGATATTCCTCTTGTTTTCTACAATATCAACGATATTTCTACTCCAAAATTTCTGTGTACATATCATAGAAGAGGCCAGAGGAAGATGCATTTGTACATAATGATGATTGGTTTTGCTCCCGTACCAAATAACAAGTCTTACGGGTTGGTATACAAGCAGCAGCTCTGCTGAAACCGACTGCCACTGGAAATTATTAGTTAGTTGGGAATCAACCAGCAACTCTTACATGCTTCCTTTTCACAGTGAATATGGTCATCTTCTGTGTTTAAGTGATATACTACTCATTGTCCCCAAGAATCAGATTTCAACCATGGAGTACCATGCTTGGAAATTGTGAGCTTTGGGAACATAGACCATCTGAGCACTGAGAACTCAGCTGGACCCTATAATCAGAGTCGAAGGAGCAAAAAGAGTAATTACATTGACATACCCCCAACCCCCCAACCCCCATATGATACAAGGAAGATAAGCAGAGTTTAATAAGTAGGTAAGGTGAATGGTATATAGTACATTAGTACATTGTTAGGTTTTAGACTCATGTTAGAGAGATTCATGCCGTCATACTGTGTAACTATATTTGCTTTCAAGTACAAAATACATACAGGTCTTCTTCTTATTCTATCTACGTGATATCAAACCATATACCATGAAAACCCATGCTATAAGTGGTAAATAATTCATTGAGCATTAAATATATTGTACGGAGTATTTCATTTCATGTACAAGAAATATCAATGTTCTCTTCTTACTCTTGCAACATGGTATCAAAACCGAAATCGTGTTCTAGAAGTGGTAATAATTCACTAAACACAATATGCTCAGTTTCTCCTCTATTTTAGATCCTCTCTTTAGTATCTGGATTTTGGAAATTCTGTTTATAGCAGTGTGTGTCTCAATTCTGAGTCAGCATGGTATTGGCAAGGCTGCACTACCCTTTATAGCCTTCGTCTCCTTCAGAACAAGAAACAAAAATATGATATTTCCTTTTACCCTAAACTAAGCTTGCTTGGTCTTTTCAGAGTACTAACCAACTTCACTTGAAAAGAACAACATGTCACTTCTTTAATATTGTTTAGTTTGGCCATGTTAATGACTATATGCATAGCATTTAATCATGCCTAAACGTTGTGGATTTAGGCATTGTTTTCATTCAAAAAGCTATTGATGTTAAGATGTACCAATCATGAAAGATCAGGATGAATTGGACGAATCAACTAAACATAAGTAATAGAAACTACCCCCCCAAAAAAGAAGGTTACCACCATGAAAAGCGGTCAAAATGCATCTTTGCCACACCTTGTGTACAAAGATGTATGTACATTATGTGTGAACTGAACGCATCAATTCTAATGATGTATTTTTCTTACTTGGAAAGATAACAAATCATAGTATATACATGTTAAACCCCGCAGTCACTGCTGCCCTAAACTCACATCCATACACGCACATAAAAGAAATAAATCAAAAACTTTGTGCCTAAGGAGTAAAATGTTTAATGTGGATACGAGATATGAAACACATTTGCAAGCTTACCCAGCTCTAGGATCTCTAACTATACGTTGAAGTCGTTTCACAGTCTCAATGTTGTGGGCAAAGACATCCAAACCAGAGTTAACTAGAGTTGCTACAGCATCCAGGTCCCCTCGAAAATCAGATGTTAAGCACTCAACCATAATTGTGGGCTTAAATATCTGTCATACGAATCAAAATGTCACATACATTACCCCGAATATCTGATCATACATGTAGTGCTTTTACAGACATACAATAACTTGCATAAAGTTGCCCATTTCAATCATCCAATGCAAGCAATTAATATTTGTCATGAAAGACAACTAAGAATGATATAAATATACGGATGTGTTTACCTTCAAGGTCCTTACAGTTTCAGCAAAGTGGCCACTTCCACCGTCAGGTAAATCATCTCGATCTACGCTGGTCAAGACAATATAGTCCACACTGCAAGAGGAAGATAAATTATGAGTGATGAGAAAACATGTAGTATTGCAATGCAAACAAGGGTCTTTTTGTTATTAAAATGTGGAGTCCTCTCACACTCAGCCAAGTATAAATTTATAAACCTTGCCATCAAAGTTGACTTTTTTGAATTAGAACCCCAAGTCTTAATATTTTGACACGATTTGATTTTCACTTTGAGTCATTCAGAAACATTCTCTTTGTAGTCTCTTTGTGCTTTGGTACAGCGGTAAGGCTGCGTACATCCGACCCCCCTTACCCCACCGTAGGTGAGCCTTTGCGCCAGGGGTAATGGTGATGATGAACCCAAGTCTTAATATGATACTTTGATCTGGCCAAAATCAGTTAAATATGTAATGTAGTTATATGTATTCAAGACTCCATGTTGGCTTAGACCAGTGAATTTTAAACTCAACTGCATGAGCTGGTTGCTAAGAGGTAGTCGCAAGCTATCTCAGTCTCCATTAGTAATATTACTATTGCTTCTGTTGCTGTTGATATTTTTATATAAGCAGGTTCAAAAAGTAAACAAAAAAGGGGTACCCTTACCCCCAGCTGGCAACAGCTTGCGCAGTGTGAAAAGGCTCCAGGGGATCTGGAGGAGCTGGATTTCGACTGGTCTTTACAGCGCAGAATCTGCAACCGCGGGTGCAGGTGTCTCCGAGGAGCATGATTGTGGCAGTGGAAATGCCGTCTCCGCCTCCATTCCAGCACTCGCCGATGTTGGGACACTGCGCTTCCTCGCACACAGTATGTAGCTTGAGACCGGACAGTGTCTCCTTCACCTCAAGGTACTTCTTCCCCTGTGGAGCCTTCTGCCTCAGCCATTCCGGCTTCTTCAGGTTGGGATCTCTTCCAGTGTAAGGACCCATTCCGCCAGGGTATGGCTGCGATTTCGGCGTCTTCTCCTCAGTTAATTCACAGCTAATTGCTACTCTTCCACGTGTGGATCTGGGTCGAAAACAAGATAATGAAGTTGATGGATTCCAGAAAGTTTTATTAGCAATGCAACCATGGCTAAAGGTAGGAGAAGATGTTGGAGTTGTGGGGAGACGGCATTGATGAACCATTGCCGTTCTGTTCGTCGGAAAACTTGAAGATAAAAATGCAAATTGAGTTGATGGGGATCATACAACAAGTGTCAAGAGAACAATAAGGAGCGTTTGTTCCCATATCAACTACCATGGATTTCTCGGTTTCTCCGCCTCCCTCTATCTTGTCTTCTATTCTTCAAAATTCATTTATCAACTGCCCTGCAAATACATTTAAAAAATTACCAATTTGTTTTTATATCTTCTATTTTCACCATCACATTTCATTCATCATGTCTACTTCTTCATAAAATATTGTATGTTTGACTTTTTATAAAATTTGTGTGTGAAAAAATTAAATTGAAAATCATAAATGTATGTAAACATATACTCCGCATGTTCACATAACACTTTTGTTTGTGCACAGAATTTGTGTAAGTAAACACAAATTAAGAAAACATAGTTTTTTTGAAGAAAACATAGTTTTTTTTTTGTTTTTTCTGATAATAAATAATGAAATATATTAAATTTCTGCGTTGGGAAATGTGAAAAATGGAGTAAGTATATTTTACATAATTAAGCTGCTTCAATCAAACTTTCACCAATTTGGACAGATTTAGCAATTTTAGTGTTAACAGGCTCTAAAATTCACATTGTTTTACTACTATTGTTGATATTGACTTGTTATTATGAATCACATGTTTTTTAAAATAGGTAGACATAAGTTTTGTTACACCACAAATTTGAGATATTGGTAAATTCTTTAAAATTAGGAGGAAGTGATTCTGTGATTGTATGCAGGAGAGTTTGACAGGTGACGAGTGAGTTATTTATTTACACGGAAAAAAAAAGATGACAAACCATTCCTGAGGACCCCCAACACCGACCGGACGGTACATTGGGAGAATATAAATTGGACTATAATCACAATCTGACAGATAGAGAATGGAGCTCTGTCCCCAGTACTTGCAAAGATCTTTTGCATTTTTTAACATAGTAACCTCTCATCGGCCATCGCAATTGACGGGATTCGAACCCGGGACATAACCCTAGTGACACTCCTTCGCTACCAGCTACACCCACCGGTGAGTTATTTATTTACACATGCGGGATGTGTGTGAAGTGCCCAAACGGCTACACGATCTGAGATGGGCAATGGTTATCTGCTACTTTCTATGCAGAATAGAAAAGGTCCAACCTCTATTCTAAAAAGTACGCTTGAGGATCTAGTTTTGAACAAATAGAAACAATGAATCAAGAACCATATCAAGAACAATCTATTTAACCTTAACAAAATCATATTGATTCCATTTAAGGTGCTACTTCAATGAACTAAAATCGACCAGTCGAAAATCGAAATCAGAAACAAACCATGTCAACCTATATTTCCATTTTCCACCCTTGTATAGTTGCACACGACACATGGACAACATGACTTACAAGGCAAAGGCATTCTAAATCCCAGTTAAAAAGGCACCTCTTTGAATAAAAAAGGGCTCATGCACTTCAGAAAGCTCTAGTATGAGTGTATGACTGGAGGAAAACAACACAATGTTGACATGGAGTAAGATGCAACAGGATGTTTTCTGCAATAATGGACTTGGATTGTTGTTGTTGATTTGCTGCTGGATAAACATTATAAATTTAAGTGCTACATTTAAAGGTATTAATTCCTTTTTTGCTATGTGGTCTGCAAATCGCCCGCTCAAGCTGTAGGGGCATAAGGCTTGGCGGTGTAGCAATGGCAGCATTTTCTTCATTTGGTCACTCTATCTGGCTACACTCGCACACTTGTGTTTAAAGGAAACACTGTCCGGTGATATTAATATAAAATTGTGTTTTTGTATCAACTGCAAAAGAGGCATACCACTGTTTCAGTTTGAATTGGAGAATCAACAAAAATGAAACATAAAATAGAAAGGAAAACTATTTAACAACCGCTCTGCATCATTTGGATAAATCATCATTGCTTGCTTTTTAAACTTATCACTGAACTTTTCCAATATAAGGTCAGGTTAAGAAGTATTAGATGACTTGTCACTCGTCATTTGAATCTTCTGAATCAGAGCCATTGACCATCTTTTCCAGTGTTTCCATGTTCCCAACGTCTGAGATAGTATGCAACCTAAGCTTTTCAGCATCCTCACTAGGAAATCAAATAACCCACAATAGTAAAAGAGAGAGATTAGTCGAAACACATTGACTCTAACACTAAGGTGTTCTGGAAGCAAGCACTTACTCTGCTACCCCAAATAGTTCTTTAACAGTTAAGGAGCTACCCCTCGAACAAAACTCTGGCAACTGGTAACAAAATGAAGAAAACATTCAATGAATTTGGTTTAACTTCACAATTGGCAGAATGATCTCAAATATAGATCTGATACTTCGATTTTCCAAGGCAAGGAACGAGTAGATCACAAACAATTTTATATTGTTTGGCTATGAGCAATAAATAATAACATTAGAGCTCGCTGGACAATTATTATATGCATTGAAGCAAATGTTTCACTGCTGATTTAACAAAATTTTAGAGTGTAGTCAAAGATGCCAATTTCCTGGAATGGACAAGCCAATAAATAGAGGCTTGCAGAATAATCCACAATTTGACTTTACCGCTGTCTGATCAAGAAAGAATTGAATGAATTACTAAAGCGGATGTTAAGAACTTGTATCCATGTCCACAATTATTATTAACATTTTCTCCTAAAATAATACAAGTAGAACAACCTGTGATTAAGATGGTTTTCAAACTTCATCTCATTCCTCCTAGATAAAATACTAAAATGTAAGATCAGCCAGCATAAAACTTTGATACTGTTTTTAGCACACATGTATATTGTTTCCTAGATTCATCAACACCATAAATTTCATGTCATTAATCAAATGGGGAGATAAATGGAATTAGGCGCCCTATATGATGGTTGCTTGGTTATCCAACCAAACACTGAGTCACTGAACAGGCACAGGCTACATGATTGTCATATTTTAATATTTGAGACCCAAATTCCCAAACGGGGAGATATTGCATTTAATCCCGTTCAGGGAAGAGGGAAGCTAATATAATAATATACAACTTCTCCAGAAAACAAGTTAGAAAATGTAGCCAACAATCACAATCAGGCCATCACCACAGTTAAAGTTGAAGATCCCACCTCTGACAAATAATAAATCTTTCCAAATAGAGTTTGCACTGCAAGTTTTCTCTTGAAGCCCTTTTCAGAATAGCCTGACATGTCCATGACAACGGGTCCTGAAAATACAAATAAACCATATTTACTATACAGAACATATGTTTGATATCCAAACAAGCATCTGATGTTTCAAAATCTCATATGTGATCCGGCAACCACTATAAATTCAATGGTTAAACCCCAATTCACCTCTGATTCCAACCCCACCCCAAGCCACCCAACCTCGATGTAAAAATAATAACTATACAACAACATTACCACAGTGCCGCAAAGGCTTCCCACCTATGGTGGGGTAAGGGGGGCGGATATACGCAGCCTTATCCCATCAAATTCCCAAGCCAAAAATAGTGAGTCTTTGGATCCATTGAAAATGATGGAAATGTAAAAATAATAACTATGCAGCAACATAATTGTATTTGTCATGCACTGAATATGTAATATTGGCATACAAGTATTCTTCTTTGTTTTTATTTTCTTCCCACTAAACATGAAGGTACGTGCTTTGCAGTTTGCAGTAAAATTAATTTAGCTAAAACACATGTCTTACCAACAAAAGTTTGACCTTGAGAAAGCACAACTTTTTAGGCACACTGGCAATGAAATGTGTGTGTGCACGTGTGTGTTTTTCAACAAATTATACCAACTAATACATTGTATTTAGTTGCAAGCACCGGCAGACCCAGGGTAGCAGAGGGTTACCCCCCGCCATTACCTATACATATAAGCACCCATTGGTACATAAGTAACATAACTACATATTGTAGCAGTGGACAGAGTTGATGGTTCAGTGCAATACGAGACTTGTAATCACTAGTTCCACTTTCCCCCGAGGCCTTGAACACTTCGGTTTTTCAACTCTATTTATTGAAATATTGTGAGTGCCAATTCGGAAGTACTGTACTAATGGAGAAGTGGAAAGTCCCTTTGATTTTGAATTGATCAGGAGCTATAAAGTTGTTGCATCTGATTTTGTTATTTTTTGTTTTTGTCTTGGAATTGTATGAGGGGTTAAAGTAAAATCTCAGTTAAACACATAATTTTTATTGGTCTCCAGTTTCGTCCAAACATTAACAAAAAGGCTTTTATTCCATCCAAATATTAAGTGGATACATATATAAACATGAATCCATAAATATTACGTGCCTCAAAGTTTCCTTTAAGTTCCTTTTAGGGATAGAATTAGGCGGTTGATAACTTGATATTGTTCCTGCATTTTCTAAATAAACCCCAAACCACACAAATTTACAGTCTTAATAAGCCTTTCAAGTTAAAGTGGGAACTGTTTTAGCATGGATGTAGTATTTCTTGCTGAATTTGAACATGTTATTTATGAAATGGTAGAGCCATTGTGGCATACATGAGTTACTATTGCAGTTTCAGTTTGACCTGACCCCCCTCACTGAACTTTATGTGTCTGGCACTTGTCGCAATTCATAAACATGACTTGTTTTCTAAAATCAAACCACTTGACATTAGCCACTTATATTCCATTGAATGTGACTACAGGATCTTTCTATACCAAACAAACATCATCTCTGCACACTTGATGCTTAAGTCTTCTTAAATAGGTCAAACTGAAATTTACGAGGATTGTACTACAAGTGTCCATAATAGTGTAGGGAGGATTGCATTTCCCTATTACTATCGGAGTGCACCAAGGATCGGATTAGAGTTCTTTCTTATTTGTTATAGTCATGCATGAACTCACAAAGTCAAAGATATATCGTGGTGCATGATGCTGACGACATTGTATTGATTGATATGACAAGATAGAGTGTTAAAGCAAAGTTGGAAGTATAGCGACAAATTCTGGAGAAGCAACATTGAGTATATGGAGTGCAAGACTGATAGGGCCCTGGGCTGTAGAGAGTAATAATACTAGTAATAGATTTATATTAAATAAGTGTGGTATTGTATAAATAAGGATTCTGGGCCATGTCATAGAATATGGGCTGGCCCGTTAGGATATAATTACTATATAAGAGTGGGAAGGAAGGAAGGAAGAGGTTAGGCAGAAATTTGGGATCTGGGATTAGGCTTGGGAGTGGGAGACGACTCGAAATCTCTGTTTACTGTTTACGCCATTGTAATTCAGTTCAATCTCTGAAATCTTCATCAATAATATTCTATTTTTCTACTGTGATATTCTGGTTTCTATCATTGGTATCAGAGCAGTTGTCCTGGGAAACTTCCATCTAAGTCACGCGATAAAAAAATGGAGCAGCGCAAAAAATATCTAAGGACAGAACGGAAAGTGATCGCCTCTGGTTTGCGCGCGAACACTGAGGAGCGTGTGTCTACTCATGGCGGAAAGGAACTGTGCAGGGAGCATGGAAGATCCGATCAGGATACTTCGCCCGGAAAAGGAGAGAAGATGGCGGAAAAGGTTGAAAGTGATTGGGCTAAAGAGATGCACCGTAAGTTGGGCAAAATTCTTCACAAAATCAAGCGACATAGAGACAGAGCGAGGAGCCCTCCTAGACACCGTCGGCCGATTGAAAATAATCTGGTGTCTTCTTCCGTTGTTGCTTTTCCTAGTTCGCAATCGCGAACTGCTTCGCTTAGCTCGCAGGCATCCTCGCGTGCGCAGGTTTCCTCTCAGTCACAAGCACTTCCTTCCAGCTGTCTGGCGACTCCGCGAACTCCATCTCATAGTTCGCAATCGCGAATTTCTTCTCACGGTTCGCAGATGTCATCTCAAGCTGCTTCAGCTTCTTCGCGAACAGATGTCCTTAGTTCGCAGGTGACCTCGAAGTCAGCATCGTCTTTTGTTGTCTCTCCTAGTTCGCAGATGCGAACCAATTCTCCCAGTTCGAAGATGCGAACCAATTCTACCCGTTTACAGATGACATCTCAAGCCGCATCTCACAGTGCTCTAGCCTCATCAGCTTCATCGTTCTTACCCGATGCATCCGTTTCCAGAGCTGTAGACTTCGTCGAATCATGGAATGGATTGTTGGGGAGTCCACCACCGACAAAGAACACTGACTGGAAGCCGGCTGTAAAGTCAATCATGGAACCCGACTCGAAAAATGATACAACTCAACTGTCCCCACTTGCAATGGCTTCGCAGAATCTGGGGCAAGCTGATCCTAGTGTTCCTAATGATAAAAGTTACAATCAACGTGGCACTGAAGGTATTCGAAATTCTACCACTAGGGGTGTGGAGGTTCTGGTACTGCCTATTAGGACTATGGTTGATGCAGCTCATGCTTCGTTGGGACATTCAGTTTCTGAAGCTTCTCGAAGTGCTATGGAATCCTTCAACTCGGTTTTGGGTAAAGTTTATCATGCTACTTCTGAAAATGTTACTGTCAATCTTAGGTCAATGAGTGAAGTGTCAAAGGGAGTTGAAGTTTTTTCTAGTTCAGTACTCCCTGATGAGCAGATACAGGTAGAGGAGAATGCTGGTGTTCAGGGCATGAACACAAATTCTGCTATGGCTGAGAATGGATTGACTCACAACATTGTTTCTCAAGAGACTAAAGCAACTATACCATTCAGAAAGCTTCTGGTGGTTGAGCATAGCCTTCTAATTAATGAGCCTAAAGGGGAAAGGAAAGAAGAAAAAATCTCATTTGGGACTTTGGCTGTTAGAAAATCTGAAATCGCATGACAGCACTACTGTGCACAACAGCTGTCAATTGTTGAAGTTTTATGAAACAAATCCTGCTATTACAAGTAATTATGTCATTGATACTAGCTGCCGTACAGAAAAGTGGATGAAAATTGGAGAAGTTTGCATGAGGATGTTTGCAGACCTGGAGTTGAGCTACATCAATCTTGCATCCAGTAATAGTTTCAGAAAAGAGAACCTCAGAGGACCCTCAAGAAAGCAAGGAAAAGTTTGTGGCTATTGAAGGCTTGAAGGTTAATGAAGAGAATGAAACTTCACCAGATAGATCCCATGCTGCAGAAACATATGTCAATTGGAAAGATAAAGTGTTGAAGATCCCCGCTCAGAAATCAATGAGATACTGGGAAGGTAGAGGCACCACGATGAAGATGAAGATCAAGTCTGTCTCCTATCACCCACCTTGAGGACAAGGTGGTTGTTGAAGGGGGGGGGGAGATATGATAGGGCCCTGGGCTGTAGAGAATAATAATACTAGTAATAGATTTATATTAAATAAGTGTGGTATTGTATAAATAAGGATTCTGGGCCATGTCATAGAATATGGGTTGGCCCGTTAGGATATAATTACTATATAAGAGTGGGAAGGAAGGAAGGAGGAGGTTACGCAGAAATTTGGGATCTGGGATTAGGCTTGGGGGTGGGAGACGACTCGAACGGTCTCAACAATATCCATTCTTCTCTATTTTTTCTGTTTACGCCATTGTAATTCAGTTCAATCTCTGAAATCTTCATCAATAATATTCTATTTTTCTACAGTGATATTCTGGTTTCTATCAAAGACTAGTGGAGGTAGAAGCAATGGTAACAATGGGATTAACTTAAATTGTAAGAAAATACCGATCATTGATTTGTTCTGTTATCTGGGCTCCATAATTCAGAAAGATGTTGAACTAGATGAATATGTATTCTAAGAATCAGAACAAGATGGATGAAATGGAAAAATGTGTCAGGATTTCTATGTGATCGAGGTATGCTGACTCGACTGAAGGGTAAGTTTCATCGGATAGAAATTAAGCATGCATTATTGTATCCATAGAGTGTTAGGTGGTGAAACAATGTTACATTCAAAAGATGTGTGCGACTGAGATGCGCAAGTTGCGTTGGATGTGGGGACATACTAGAAAAAAACAAAAGACAACTTGGAGAATGATAGAATCAGGCAAAAGGTAAAAGGAAAGATGTGAGAGTCTCAAATGCGATGGTTTGGACGTGTGCATAAAAGACCAAGTGATGCACTTGTTGGACGAGTGGAGAGGTTGGGAGAAGAGGTATTGAGTAGAGAGAGAGGAAGACTCAAATAGACGTAGATTAGAGCGGTCGCGAATGATATGGTACTTCTTCGGTTATATGAGAGTATGACTTTAGAGAGAGATGAATGGAGAATCTAGGTGCAGAGGATTGGTCTCATTTTATCCCTTTTATTTTTTCCTCTTCTTGTGTCATGCCTGTCCCAAGCCAGGACAAAGGAGGAGGGTGCTGTGGTAGGCGCGTGACGGCCAACAGTATCACTTAGTCACATCACATGACATGAATCGAAATATGAATATCGCGTCCGCCTTCTCTTTTTGGCATCGATATCATAGATCGATTGATGTTAGCCGACCCCAAATTCTTTTGGGATTAAGGTTTGGATGTTGTTGTTGTATTTTTTCCTCTTCTTATGTTCTTTTCTATCTTTTTATCTTCTCTTTTTTATCTTTTTTTATTTTGTACTTTCTATCTTAATCTTATCTTTCTCTTTACTTTATCTTTATCTCATCTTATCTTTTTATCCTTTTTATCTTTTTTAACTCCGGTTTTATATATCGATTCATGTTAGCTAACCTCAAATTCTTTTGGGACTAAGGCTTAGATGTTATTGTTATTGTTGTACAAAATAATCCCATAAAAGTTGAAAATATAAAAAAAAGTTGGCCACATAGTATTATTCTATTACCTTTGTCTTTCACTATACGTCTTGAGGTTTCATTCAGAATTCCAGCTACTTGAGAATCACTTAACAGTGAGGCCTTCCTAAGTTGAATTAGATCAGCTACCAAATCTGGGTTAAAAGGCTTCTCATTCAAGGCATATCGAATATATTTGCGAAAAATACTCGCCACATCAAAATTTGTCTGCAAAAGCACAATAACTTTGTCAAAATTTATCAGCAACAAATAATATAAACGCATGCTCAGAAGCCATAGGAAGCACCCAAAACAAGTAAACAACAAAACATTAACTGTAGTGAGTGTACAAAAAATTGAACAGGTTAACAGCCAAACTCGGTCCTTGACTCCTTGATTTTGATGTTTTGAAAAAATGAGAATTATAAATCAACAATACACGATAATAAACCAATAAGTTACTTAAGAAATATAGGTACACAATTAGGTCCCTTGGCTCATGCAAATACATTAAAAAGGATAGCATAAATCAGTCATGTGAATCATTGTCACCTCTTTTGTAATATACCGATATGACTCCATAAAAATATATTCGAGGTCAGAAATGGGGGCTTATGAATCACCTTTTGCATCAGTTTTTTCAACTCTACATCATCAACGTGCTGTCTTCCTTTCTCAAATAGCTCATCAATTGATTTGCACAGAAAGACATTTTTATTCACCTGAAACATAGGTGCTATCAGGCAACAGTATATAAGCACAATACAGTTAGCAATTAGCTTTTACATTTCAAACTAAATATTAAAAAACTATGTACAATAGATGACATGCATATATATACAGTACACAGGACAAGAGATCTCTTCTTACCCATGAGTTTTAACTAGTGACACTAATTACGGTAAAATTAATATTTTGGCATATATTTGTGAAAAGGGTATCAGTTCATTAAAAGAAAATTAAAGACTTAGCACACCGACAGTTAACATAAAAATGCATAGCGCCCCCTAAAAAGTCATTCTTACAATTAAAGGTTTGGTAGAATACACAAATATGGAGGGACTGCAGCCTCATATGAGATGGTACTGATATGATGCTATGTACCATGTACATGGCACTTAACTTCTCCTTTAGCTTAGATAGCACTTTATGGCCATTTATGATCTCAAAGCAGGGTATTCCCTTTGTATGTGTATGTCCAAGCATCATGGTTCTTTTCCTTAAAAATGGAAAAACAAAATTGCATATTTCTCAAAACTGGAATAATAAAGGTTGTGAAGAGAATTCCTTTTTATTCTCTTATTACATACATCATGCATGATTCATAAATAAAATAACTGCTATGGATTATGGATGTGTTCGTTTTAGACAATTGTAGATTTTTTAGTAATAGATCTTCCAGCTAAATGTGACACATATACTCATTTGAGTATTTCCGAAACATTCTCCTTTTACTAAAATCAAGCAAACACCAATCCATTTTAAAAACATCTTCTTGATACCAGAATGCAGTTTACAACCTTACATTAGTAGCAAAATGATCCAATATTAGAAAGCATATCTTCTTCCTGGTTGTTCGAGCACAGAGCATATAAAGATTGAACTGCAAATATAATTGTATCAGTAAAAAGAAAGTAGTAGAAGAAATGACTACCAATTTCCGACGCTTCGCTTTAGGGGAGTTGAACTTCCGGACGGTCTTGACGAAGGCGATAACAAAAGTGACCCCAAAATAAGCCAATGGCACAGCAAGAATCCATGGCAACGAGCTCCGGCCTACACGAGGCCCAGGAATGGCCTCCGTGACGGAACCTGTAAATTCAACAATATCCAATGCCTTCTCTTGTATCCAGGGTAGTTCTTCCTCAACATATTCTACTACGTCTTCTTTTAGTTTCAGTTCTTTCTTATCGGGATCACCAATCGCGCCACCGCTGCTGCTTGCGGCAGCCGCTCTGGCGAAGGACAATGAGCGACTGGTAATAGTAGAAAACAATAAGAACTCGAAAGGATCGTGTTTGCTGCGATTTAACTGCGATATTTTCCATTTGGGAAAATGGAAAGAGCCACTGGCGGCGGTGGGAGGAGATAGAATCGTGAGCCGTTGGGAATTGCGTACCAGGGAACAGCTGCAGAGGGTAGAACACGCAGAGAACGCCATTGCGGATACAGAAAGGTTTCTCGTGGACGTGATGGCCACAACGGCTGTTTTTGCTGCAGCGGCAGCGGCAAAGCTGGCCGGCAAAACTCACATTGGGCCCAAAATCGTTGATCCGGAACCAGTAATTTCACCAAAAATTATAGAATTGGACTTGAGTACACACTTTTTACACATGTCTGTGTGAGATTTTTTTTTGTCTGTACAGACATAAAAATATTGATGTGTTCTTTACAATTTTTCAACATCATAAGGAGACCCATATGACTTACTAGTATATGTACCCGTGCACCGCACGAAAAAAATGTGTTTAAAAGAATTATATGTGAATTCATCAATCAGAGTTTAAAAGAAAATCCAATCGACTATGGATAGAATTGTCAAAATGAGTCGAAGTCCATAGGGCTAGCTGTCCATTTCGTCTCTTTTCACGATCGGTTAGGATGTGTTTGGGAGTTGGATTTTAGAGGGGAAAGGGAAGGTTGATGGGGTTTGTGGTCCTTTTCATGTTTGAGAGTTTATAAAATTGGAGATGATGGTTTAAGAGTGCTTTCGTGACCCTCCAAAATCCTCTAAATGTTCGATTTTTGAGTTCCCCCAATTTGGAGGGATTTGAAGGATAATTAATAAAATGGTAATTTAAGCTCAGTTAAAAATAAATGAGTTTTTTCGAATCAATGTTAATTAATTAATTAATTAATTACGAAAATAATGGTGAGTTAAAAATATATATCGATCTACTGTTGGGTTTAACCATGGTCGGAGTAAGTCGCCAAATGGTTCGGCGACTTATAAGTCGTCATCCGGTTTGGGGACTTATAAGTCGCCCAACCGTTTGGCGACTTACCCCTCACTATAAATTACCTCTAACAAGGTCTCTTTTCTCTTATTTAGGGGTTACGAACCAGATAAAACACATTACAAAACATACAACACACATGCTCACAACACACATACATAACACCTTCTCTCAACAACATACAAAACATTGCATACATACCCTTCACAAATAAGATACAAACTAGTAGATTCATAACCAGTACAATAATCCAATATTCATAACACAGTAGTCATCTAATATTCATAATCGAACACATCAATACATCATAAAAGGTTTACAGGTGGAAATACGTAAAATAAAGTCAATTCTTCCTACAACGTCTAGTGTACAAGAAAAACTCTAATACAAAAGACAAACTACAAGTTCTCATGGTCTTCTTGATCGTCTTGGTCATAAAAATGTTGTTGTTGCTGCCTACGCCTACGCCGTTGGCGTGGTTGAAGAACCACTCTCTTATGCTAAGTCTGGGATGATGAAGTTGCCGTTGCACTAGATGTCAATGGCATATCCTGAGATGGGGGCATATGTATAAGATGACTGTAGTCGACTCACCCCAACACATCTGAACATAACGAGGTGATGCCCGTCAAAGCCTGACCGTACATGTCCACGTCATGTGTATCACTCACTGTGGCAGTAGCCCGCTGATGTATACGTTGCAAAGCTCGTGTCTGAAATATGAAACACAATTACAATTAGTTAGAAATAAATAAAAGTGTTAAATAAAGAAATCTCCTTACTTTAGTAATTAGTAATATACTTACCGTCTGATGCAAAGCCAATGAACTAGGCTGACAATGGTGAGTAGGGAGTTTGAACGAAGGAGACACAAACAAACGAGTGATGTTGTAATATCATCCCATGTAGTCTCTCGAAACAGATGGGACTAATGTTGGTGTCCCAGTCACAACAAGCTCAGCTCGCTTGTCCCACATAGCGACGTATCGGGCATGTCTGAGTGCCCAATCTTCCGTAGATAGGTGTAGATAGGTGCTGGAATGACCTACTCACACCCAAACTGCCACAATACACGATCAGGCAAATGAAGCTCAACAATGTCAAAGCATATCAACGGCACACGTGCTCGCCATATGTGAGAATGCTCTCATCCAGCGGGGGGTAAATCTGCAAACATCTCAGTTGTATACGACATCCATGTAATCTGTTTCATAAAGATACAATATTAGTATTTCTGCTATACATATTATAGTTAATGTTATATTACGCACACCATACCTGATCCTCAGACATCCGATCAAACGCATCCCTATACACACCGAGCCCAGAAGCCGATGATGTGCGACATAGAACATCAAATAGCCATCTAACCATTCATGAAACATATATTAATGTGAATATTATGAATATATTTATATTCAACATACAATAACATAAATTCAAATGATTGAAAACATACTGACGGCCCAGAGGGTCCTCGCCTCGTACATGATGTGGTCCCAGGAGACGTGGTGTAACACCGCCCCCGAGTATTTGTACTGTACCAAATTATGTATTGAACCTTGAGAAATGTATAAAAGCATATTTACGTGATTGTAAACTTTTTATCATTTCTATTACGTGAATAGTAGAATTCACGTGGGGCCCACACCGGATGTGGGGCCGCCCGATATTATCGGAAGCACATATTATATTGATCTTGGACTAGATAATATGTATATGGTGATGGATATCCTGATTGGGCCATGGCAATGGCATAGAGTTGACCGGTTGGTCAAACGGGGCCAAATTATCGGTATCGGCAATTTATCTGATAACAGCCCAAAAAGGGATTCCGGAGATTTCTAAATTAAAGTTGGGGAATCATATTGATTCTAAGGTCCAATAAGGATTGGAAACAAGTGTTATATTTTATTTGACCCGATAAAATAAAATATACTTAAAACAGTCCGGAAAATACAACTTTCGGGACCGATTGTACACCCGGGTACACAAAGGGTTGACCTCCCACATAAGTGGGGGCCAACCCACGTCCTTAGCTCTGCAAGGATTCAAGGGGAGCCGCACAAACATAAGGAAAAAGGGGCAAAAGTTGATGGGAGACCAAACCAATAAATGGAGAGGGGTCCCTCCCCCATATTATTGGTGAATAAGCCAAAAAGGCTATCCCTCTCACCCCCACACCCCATATGCTCGGCTCAATCATCCAAGGAAGGGAGAGGAACTCTGAAACTACTCCATTTCTTCATCCATACACGCACCAAGTTGAGGGAGGAAGAAGAAAGGAAAAAAGAGAAGAGAAAAGAGGAGTTTAGGTGGGAAAACTTGTGTTTAGCAAGGTAAGGACCCCATTAATCCCATTTCGTCGTCTTTAATCCTCTTATATGATTATTCAATCATATTTCACACCCTAGTATTGTTCTACACGTTGTTATGTGTAGAAAGAGGGGTTGGAAGGTAGTTCTAAGTCCAAGAACGGACTTAGGAGCCAAAGTAACCGGTTCGCCGGAAAATAACCTTTTGGGGGTTATTTGTATTACTATGGGTTTTATGATGATAAAACCTTGTTAGTAACTTGTCTAAGGTACTCAAGGAACTTTCACGGAGTTGAAAGAGTCGCCGGAGTTGTCGCCGGAGTTCGTTGAAGTTCGCCGGAGTTTCGCCGGAGCTAAATCGGGAAGGCTAGAACTTCATAAGCTTCATTAAGGTGAGAAGACGGCTTTATGCTTTATAACTTTTGCGTTAGGCATGAGATTACCTAAAGTAATCAAGGATATGTTTTGTGGAATGATTAAAGATAATCAAGTATTTGCTTATGCCATGATTTTGCATAAAACATAGTTGAAAAGCATGTTATGTAGGTTTGGTGATTAAAAATGTGATAATATATTTTGTGAGATGATCCAGGGATATAAAATGGTATTTTTGGATCAAGGACATCAAGAAGTATATGTGTATAAAATTTCAAGTTAATCGGACTCCGTTTGGGGGGTAAAAAGGGGCGTTGACCGCCAAGTCAACTGCCATACCCGACCGGGTATTGACACATACCCGACCGGGTATTTGCTGAAAAATTGCCCGGGGGGCTACTGTCTCCTATACCCGATCGAGTATAGGTAGATACTCGATCGAGTATACACGGAAAATTAGCTTTGGGGGCTACCGCCTCCTGTACTCGACCGAGTATGGGTAGATACTCGATCGAGTATTGGTTTATGCTCAAAACGGGCAGTTTTGAGCGGGTTAATGTGGGCCGTTCAGGTGGGACCCGCCCACATTGGTTCCTAAGGATGGTTATATGACTATAGGACTAGGTATTGTCCATAGTTAAAGGAATGAAAGGTTAGCCATATCCAGGTTAGGATTTGGTAGAGGATAGACTGGGGATTGAGTGCCCTTGGACGGTAAATGATCCAGAATACTCCAGGTGGGGTCGAGTACCCTTGGACGGTAAATGATCCAGAATACTCCAGGTGGGGTCGAGTACCCTTGGACGGTAAATGATCCAGAATACTCCAGGTGGGGTCGAGTACCCTTGGACGGTAAATGATCCAGAATACTCCAGGTGGGGTCGAGTACCCTTGGACGGTAAATGATCCAGAATACTCCAGGTGGGGCCGAGTACCCTTGGACGGTAAATGATCTTAAATACTCCAGGATGGGTTGAGTGCCTTGGACGGTAAATGATCCTAAAACACTCGGTAGTATGAATCGAAGGTAGACTATAGCTTGTGAGCTAGGTAACCGGGAAAGGAGTGAGAAAAGTCAGGTAAGGACTTTATCTCTAAAAGACTCTTTAAGGTAAATGACCTACGGGTTGAGTATTTTACGAGTATATGTACAGTATGTATCATCGGGTGGATGAGGGACATCTATATGTATATATCACCCTATTTTTGGGTCTCGTGTCTGAAACATTAGTTATTCTTCATATAGTCTGCTTGTCACTAATACTTCTATGGAGTACTGACCCCTCCGGGGGCCCTCACATTTTTCAGGTTGAGGCTAGAGCCCTACTACCTGCACCTTTGCCTAGGGTGATTGATCGAGAAGGAAGACGTGGTTCGTGCTTCCATTCTTATTTCAAATGTATAAACTGCTCATGGATTTTTGAACAATATTTTCATTAAAACAGTTGGGGGCCTGCGTGCCCGTGTTTGCCACGTGTGGCTAAGTATCAAACATTTTATTATTCCGCATTTGTTTGATTATGATATTGATGTTGATTGTATGTGTTTACTAATCGGTTTGGCAATAGAATCAATCAGACGCCTTGTACAATCCAATAGGGATGAACTGTTGTTGTTCCTATCGGGTTGTACGGCGGTTG